GTCACATGGAAGTGTGGAAACAAACTATATATTTTGTCTTTGTTCCTTCAGGCGTAAAGTCCGGTGAGGGTTTATGAGCTCGAGATAATTGATTAATATGCAAGGTGAAGCCCTAGTAATTAAGTGTTCTACCTTTTAAACTGAAAGAAGGTAGAGTTCTGTGAATAAAGTTTCATTTACAGAGAAATTATATGTTTGGTTTTTCTTATTATCACAGATCTTTACTGTGTCGGCAAAATTTTTACCGTGTCGCACGCATAATATTTAAATTTGTCCTGTGTCGGAGAAACCTTTACTGTGTCGGGAGCAACACAGTAAATCAGCTCTTGGAGAACCTTGCAGAGGCAAAATTAAAACTGAATTTTGTCGTTTCTTGGTCTCTTTATTTATCACAGGGGTTAAATAACAAACCTGTGACGTCATTACTGTTGCTCATGCAGTAGCAGAGTGAAAGTGAAACGTAACAAGAATTCATGTAAACAAACACAAGAAATAAGAGTTTCAAAGCATTTAGAATGAATATCATGTGTGATTCATGTGGGAATAAAGCTTGTGAACAAGGTATGCTAACATATTTTTACAATTTCTTCGTAAAATTCAAGCAGGCAGGGTGTTTATTTGCCGATCAGCCTTTCCTTTGTTGTTTGTAACAAAAAAAGATGCAAAAGTTCAACAGTACGCCGCTTATTTTGAACTTAATTTTTGTTTCTGTATAAAGTTCTTCTTTTATTGTTCTTGGAAAGTGCTGCTAGAATTGTATGGTTTACGGGAATTGATGCTTTTTTTCGCCATTATGAACAAAATGTTTATATTTTGGGAAGGTTTCGTCCGAAAGTGTTGAATAATTATTTCTATGATAGGTCAGTAGGATTCTAGCAGCACTTTTCATGGTACAGAGATGTTTTTACAAAAATATTATTACAAATTGAAATTAACTATCACCGGGGTAGTGTTGAACTTTCAATTTTTCATAAAGGCATATTTTCTAATTATAGACGTAACGTGGTGACGTCATGGTGAAGTGTTCCTGTAGTATAAGTCCCATTGAAGTTTATAGTATCGAATGCAGAATTATAGCAAAAGTTTTATCCTTGACTTTTCCGATTTATTAGTTTTACATAACTATAAAAAGTGTTAATTCGCCAAATTCTGATACATGTGCTGCCTTAACAAACTCGCGTAATCTTTTTTTACAAATACCATAAAAAGAGTTGTATCAAATAAGAGAAATTGTAGCTCAGAGGTTAAATCAGTTTTTCTTTCTTTGTGAACTGTTCCTAACATGTGATTGTAAATGTTGCCTATGAGATGTATGTCTCTTGCCTTCAACAAACTGAACCTACAGACTGAAGCTTCACTTTGTCCTTAAGTTCCTATGTTTATCAGTGAAACATGTATTGAAACTTTGGAATAATACAATTTATTCAATAAATTGTATTATTCCAAGGTCTCAATACATGATACAATACATCATATTAAAACATTAATACAGGAACAATAATATTGTTCCTGTATTAATGTTTTAATATTATGTTGGTATACCGAGTATTCCATTGTGATTGTAAATGTTGTCTATGAGATGTATGTCTCTTGCCTTCAATAAACTGAACATATAGAAGCTTCACTTTGTTATTAAGTTCCTTTGTTTATCAGTGAAACATGTATTGAAACCTTGGAATAATACAATTTATTCAATAAGTTGTATTATTCCAAGGTCTCAATACATGATACAATACATCATATTAAAACATTAATACAGGAACAATACTATTGTTCCTGTATTAATGTTTTAATATTACGTTGGTATACCGAGTATTCCATTTTGAATTTGAATCTATCTATCTGTGTAAACAGAGCAAAAATTACAGTTCAAAAGAAAATTTTCCCTGTTATGATAATTTTGTCAATTGTATTTTTTTTATAAAGCTAATGTTTCTATTTCTACTTAATCTTTTATAAAATTTTAATCGTTCTTACCGTTAAAAGATTTGTCATCTGTCTGAAAAATAAAGACATATCCAATAAACCAAATATTTTGTTAAAGATCAGTAGAGATAAAAATGATGATTAAAAAATCGTAACAACAACGCATGCTTCAAAGAAATATATTTACATTGAAAACACCACGCATTGTATCAGAATACTACAGGGTAGATGTAATAATCGATGATTCAGAAGTTCCTTGCTTTACAGGACAAAAGAGATTATTATCATGGAAATATTATATGTATAACTAACTAAATTATGTCAATAAATTTTCGAATATTTAAATTAAGTTGTGATTCGAATATTTTTTTCAATTTATATACAATTACTGAGTATTATGTTTTGCCCAATCCTCAGAATATTTAAATTTATGAATATACAATACACATACCATCTCCATGTATTTACATTCCTGTGAAGTATTAAACATGTATGGCTTTTCTGTTAATCGTAACCACTCACAGCAAACTCTGCATCTATACAAGTCTTCTCTAACCGTACGTAACTCCATCCCAATACAGCGTCGATCGCCGCTACAAAATCCGGCACATTTGTTGATGACAGTCGAGAATGAGGTTCCTTCCGCTGAAAACAAAACTTTAAAGTTGTCTGACAATGACCCATGTGCCTCTAAACTAAAATGCCGTTGATAGTAATGAACACTGCAATAACACATCGGCACAGTTAGGAAAATATACATGTGATAACTTCGGTATCTCATCATCTTTATAATTTATGCTTTTGAAATGGAAGTTCTAAAGTTCTTGATAGAAATAAACGCTTGGTCTTAAATTAAAGTGCTAAAATATTCATAGTAATAGCTCATCTGGTCTAGGACCGTTTAAATGGGCAGATTGATGCCTTGCAGAGCTATTTGATCTGAGAGAAACGTATTTCCTTTATTGATTTCTGAAGTTGAACGGAATACCTGAGCTGGAACTTTAATGATGTACTTAAGATAATTACTGCTAATTAGTTCGCTCAAAAACATACATATCTCATTTGATTTAATCCCTTAAATAAAAAGAAGAACGCGGGATATGTCGTTGTTTATTGGTTATAGGAACACAGTTCTTTCTCCTTGGCTCAGGGTTTATTTGGAAATCTCAAAACTTGTTTGGTAAAAGCATATAGTCTCCTTTTATTCCTTCTCGTTATATCGTTACCACAATTACAGTTAATTAAGATTGAACTTCCTATATTAACAGATTAAAACCATTTCATTGGAACATATCTAAGGTAAATATTCAGCCTGATTGAGAAAAATAAAAAGGTATTTTAAAGAATATAAATTAATTAAAAATTATAACCATGCATAAAGATTTTTATTAATCAGGTTTGGGTGAAACGTTAATTCCGCTATAATAGTGGTATTTCACTATAATAGTGAAATTACGCTATATTTTCAGTCGTGGATACCCTCAATTTCACCCGATACCATGCAAGGCGTTTGAACCGCATGTCATGGTGGGGATTACAATGAACAAAAACTGTCATGCTGGCATGTTTTAAATTTTAATAAATTTTCTACCGTTGCGTTTTCAAGAAAATTCAAACACTCTTTTTGTAAGGAAGTTGCATTTTTAACATAGCAACCGATGATTGCGGGGATATATAAGTCTGTTCTAATATCTCACTTATTGCTCATTAATGTGCATAAATTAATGTTTGTTACAATTGTCAACTTAAACTGGAAAGGTTTTTTTGATTTATTGTTTCAGCGTTTAAAAAGACGTTGCTGACATTAACATGTTTCATTCAACATGTATAATAAAGGATCGACAAATGAAAAATGGTAACCTTGTAAAATATGCATTATTTAGGACATACAAAAAAAAATTAAACACAATTTAAACTTTAGACTCAACTGATAATATTATTGATAAATATATCTTATAGATACAAGATTGAAAATACCAGCTAACATCTTCACTGAGTTTTTATTTATCTACGTAATAAATTTGTGTGTTCATATTCAAGATAAGGTACTACACAGGTTAAATCCATTAACATCACCACTGGCACATTCTTTGCAGCACGCTATGAGATTAATTGGTTTGTTTGCATTTTTAGGTAAGTTTCAGTTGATTTAAGATTTCTTTAGATATAATTATAAATCTATACTAGGTTATACAATCCTTGATATATTGGGATTTTACCTAGATAAAGTAATGTACTAGCATTGCAATGAGGTAATATAATTTACGTAAACTATATATTTCTTCTGATTTATTGACAATAAAATAAAACACCCCTCTTTCTCTCGATCTGTCGGTAACAATTTACATTCCTAAATTGGCAAAGTTGCAGAGGTGTTTTTCCAGTGAAAGAGGTCAACTTATATCTTACAGAAGCGCATGACATATATCCACATACCCATGTTGTTAGGCAAATAAAAAGAAAGTAGGCCCAATTCATATATATGTGGTGATACGCGTTTGCGAAATACTTAATTTGTTTTCCTTTGTTGGTTTTTTTCATGTTTAATATTAAATCTTTAATTGGCATGTACATTCTTTTTTTTCATTTTTTAATTTTAAAGCATACAATGGGGGAGGGGTTAGGTGGGTGGTGTAAGAAAATAACAATAGGAAAAGACATGAAGTCGATATAGTGATCAACTGTACTGTATGACGCACTTCGTTGTACATGAATTTGGTCAAGTGACAATATTCATGTCATATTCATATCAAACTCTTCAAGAGATGTCTTATTTCTTGAATATATCATTATAATTTTAACTTTTTAAAATAATATACGAAAACGTTAATCAGGATAAACTTAAGGCAAATTGATTGTAAAACAGTCTTGTCCTTGAACGACAGTTTCAGATTAAGTTCAGTTTAAGTTTATCAAATGTAAGTCATATGCAAAATACGATGTAATATATGACGGATGAAAGCTTTAGCACCATCCATTTAAAAGTAAAAAGTTTCAATCGTGAAAAATAGGTCAAATTTCAGGGTCAAAGTCAAAAGGTAAAAATTGTAGGCATTTAAAAAAAAGAACAAGGTAAAAGATGGAAAGACATCTTAAAGGTCAAATATGTTTGTACCCCAAAAGAATGATTGTATCACAACTACGTGTGTCGTAATGTAGGTGGAAATGCTTAATTCAATTAAACATACAAAATTTACATTTATTAATTATGATAGATAAAAGCAAGTTCATAGAGAAATGTTTTATATGGCTTATCAAACATTATACAATTAATATAGTTTAAAAGTTGATCTTTTGTAATTATCAGTCATGAAAAACACCACTAAGATTTTTAAATATACAGATTCTTAGAGTTGTAGCAATGATATTATCGTATTATTATTATTATTATTCAGCAAAATAAATGCATTTCCTTGAAATGTTAACATTTCCTGGACTCTGTCCGTACAGCGCTCGCTTAAATATCAAAATGTTGGAGGTTCAACAATGACCGACACTTATGAAAGTAGGCACAAAAAGGAAAGTGAAAGTCGATGCCAAAAAGATAGTGAAAGTCTTAAATGAGATTTCAACAAACGATCGAGGCTCGTTAATTGTCACGGAATGGCTTTGTACGATGAAGCTCAATCGTTGCCTGAGTGCAAGTTCTTTTCAAATCTAAAACCTTTTGATCGGTTCAAATTTTTGAGTTGGTTGTAAAACATTACAAACAATCAAATTTTCAACTCTTAAAAGTAGTGTATTTTCCTATAATTTACCTTTTCATATTGCACTGTCTTTTTATGTAATTAAAAAAATCACAAGAAAAACAAATAAGTAACAAAGATAGAAAACAAAGTTATTTGGTCTAGCATCTTAAAATAGTTTGACACACTCCAGATTCAGATTGGTCATGATATTGGCATTGCCAGTAAAAAGCACACCCAAATTAGAGAAGATAAATATTGATAACAATTAATACATGTAACTGGTATGAATCACAATGGTTTGAAATCATTATTTTTCACATGGCTGTTAAGAAGCTGATGAATAAAGGAAAAAGATGCCCTTCACAAGTTTATAATCAAATTAAGCTTAAGAACAGATGAAACAAACAAGATTTTTCTTTGAAAAAGATTTAATATCATGTCACAAGTTTAGAAAAGTGGATGGTTTTTAGAATTCTTTCTCCTAAGAACTGGGAAATGAAAAAGGCTTGGAAAATTAGTTTTAATTTTAGTAAAATTTCATTCAAATACCAAAAATAGACAAATCACATTCAGTAAAGGTTCACAGGTTGAAACAAATTTCAGAATATTATTACCTTGGTGCTACAAGTGTAACATAAACTTAAGAAAAATAAACCAAGCCAAGTGAATTTCATCAGGAAAAGCTAAATGATAAAATCAGCCTATGTGATATTACTAAATTTTTGTTATTTTGTTTCTCAGCACTAGATTAACCTGAATTGGTATATTTTCTAAAGTTTATATTACACTTTAAGCACCAAGGTAACATATTCTGAAATTTGTTTTAACCTGTAAACCTTTACTGAATGTGAATTTGTCTATATTTGATTTTATTGAAATATTAATAACATTTTCCAAGTCTATTTCATTTTCCATTTCCAGCAGTTAGGAGATAAAATTCCAAGAACCATCCACCACTTTTCTAAACTTGTGGCATGATATTAAATCTTTTTCAAAGAAAAAACTTGTTTGTATCATCTGTCCTTATATATTCACTTTAGAAAGTACCTAATTATACATACCGTATGAATAGTTATGTAATCGTACAATCTTAAAGACATTTATAATGTACACTGTACGTGTAAAATGAATACAAGTCTGTTAATATATGCCCTTTAAAAGCATACATTACATGTTTCCCAACCAGAAAATATATATGCCATTTACTAGCGCATGAAAAATTATGTCACGTGTATTGAAAAGTCATAGAAAATTTATTTCTTTTTTAGCTGTATTATTAGGCGTTTCAGGAAGATGTAGATTTCAGAAATATGGATATTATTACGATTATGATGATGGATTCTATAGGAAAGGTATATACTACAAATATGTTTACTGCAGCGGCTACTGTAACCATGTTAGCAATTCCTGTGACTATGTTTACGACGTTTCAAGCAGTGTGTAAGTGAAATTCTAACTACAATTCTCTGTATTCAACTAATATAACGTGAGTTTTTGGACCTTTGATGATAATTTCTTAATAACATCTTTTCAGGAATGTCGGAACCATTATTGGTGCAGTTGTCGGTGGTTTAGCTGGTCTGGCAATATTGGTTACTATTTGTGTCGTAGTAGCTTGCGTTTGTGCTAGGCAACATAGAAGTCCCGGTCAAGTTATTTATACAAATCGTCCAGGAAACACAACTGTCGCATACAACAATAGTAAGTTCTTTAAATATAATTTTATATTACAATGTTATATTTATTGGAAAAATTCTATTCAACATGAAATGAGAGTTACATGCAAAAATGTATATTAAAATTAAACAGAATACTATAGCAGTTACTTTATCTACGTCTTAAATAATGAGGTGTAAACTTATGGAACAAAGAATACGGTTCAATTGTACTGTTCTACATTGTCTATGTTGAAAATATTATTATTCATATCTACAGCTACAACACAGTATCCAGTCGGAGTTCAACAGCCTGTGTATACAGTTTCATCAAACAATGAAAACATGACCAAACCCCAGTAAAAAGAAGTGGCATAAAATGATCAAATAAATCGAAGACTTCTTCTCCTAAAAATATGCAAACAATTAATTACTCGTTACACATAAGTTATTTACATTCTGTTAAAATTGTTTGTTGTTTTTGTAGTCTGACTTTCGAAAAACTAATATTTAAAATAGGTAACAGATTCTGCTGAAAGGTTTCTGAAATTTTGTTTTTTGTGTATATATTGTTATTCCATACTAATAGCTATTCCTGCTGATCATTGTTATAACAATTCACCGTTTAATTACAATGTAAAAATCGACTAAATTTATTTTCAAATATACTTATGAAGATAGACAAAGGCTGTCGAAAAGCATAAATTGTATTATCGGACAAGATTTCGTGGGGCAATGATATCCGCAGATATCCCCATATAATAATCCTCACTAGGGATACCAGGGATTCTCTGGATTGGATAGCCAATTGTAGGTAGTATTTGAAAAATAATGTAAAAATATTCAAATCAATAGTGTATCTGATAAAATTTTATATTGACAAAAAATCAGTACAAATAAATAATTATATTTCAATGTTCTGTCCAACACAATCCTGAGCAACAGGAATTATTAAAGTATTGGCATGCAAGAAAATACTCATAATGATTTTTGTGATCTTTCTTCCAATGTCTGTAGTTTTTTGAAGACATCTATGTCTCCCCTTTATCTGTGCTTTTAATGACTCAAATTTCTTCCTTCATAATACATTCGCTGAATAAAATTTGTATTATTTAGAAAATGGCAGCGGATAATAGAATGACTTATGTACCAAAACAAAAATTTTTCCCTTCCAATTTAAATCAAGTGATACGTGTGCTAAATTAATGTACATGTTCTAATTTCTGTAAATTCTTGGATCCACGCCTCGACAGATCCTGATACACTCGCGCTGACCTACATGTAGTTATAATATTCTGTCATGAAACTATCTAATGTTGTGACCATCGCACATATCCTAGATGACTACAGAAGAACATATATTTTGAAGACCCACCACTACCCAGGTGATCCTGTGACACAGTGTCTAAATCAGCTTGTTTTCCTTAAGCATTAACATCAATTCTCTGTAAGGACCAGAAATGCTTGGCTTCGCACTATCATCGAATTTTATTTTGTCAATATAATATTAAAGAGTGTCCTATATAATGACTATATAAGCGGGTAAATTTTGGACAGTGCTTCCTTGGTTTCCACAGCAACGGCCTTGAAATGTTTTGCCATGGCGAAAATGACCTGATTGTCATCACCATGCGAAATAATTTCATGCTTACTATACGTAGAAAAGTTGAAAACGTAACATGGATCTCATTTTAAAGCTAATTAATCAAAGTCTCTTCAGTTGGCATATAAATTTTATTCAAAATAACTTAAGGTTTTTAATATAATATAGATCAATTTCCACGAAGATTGTCATAAAATGAATACAAAGGTACCTATTTCTTCAAGTGCATATAAATATATGCAGGCAATTAAAACTTAGATACGCGGGTATGCTAAGGCAGCACATGGACCAGAATTCGGCGCATAAACACTTTTTTGTAATTATGTATCACTAATAATTCGGAAAAGTCAAGGATAAAACTTTTGCTATAATTATGCATTCTATAGACTTCAATGGGACTTACACTACATGAAGCACTTCACCACGACCTCACCACGTGACGTCTATAATTAGAAAATATGTCTTAATTAAAAAATAAAAAGTTCAACACTACCCCGTGGATAATTAATGTCAGTTTGTATTAATAGTTATGTGAAAACATCTCTGTATCATGAAAAGTGTTGCTAGAATCCTACTATCCTATCACGGAAATAATTATTCAACACTTTCGGACGAAACTTTCCCAAAATATTTACATTTTATTCATAACATCGAAAAAATGCACTAATTCCCGTAAACCATACGATTCTAGCAGCACAAAAAACAATAGAATGAGAATTAAATATAGAAACAATAATTGAGTTTCAAAGTGTGCGGCGTAGTGTTGAACTTTTGCATCTTATTTGTCACGAACGACAGAGGAAAGGCTGATCGGCATGTAAATACCCTCTCTGCTTTAATTTTACGAAGGACCCGTAGAATTATGTTACTATACCTTATCAGGGTTCTCCATCATTTGAGATTTTACTGTGTTGCAGAGTTAACGCGAAGCACTAATATTTCCCTGTATTTTCGCGAACAAATTCGCAACTAAATCATAATTCATTATAATTCCAAGATTACAAGCTTACACTCATTTAAAAATCGTCAATTCGTTACACAAATGATATGGTCGTACATACTGATAAAAGGGAAAAAACGTTCTGAAAAGCAGAGGAAATACTGACCGATAGTCGAACTACTTAACATTTTTAAAAGTAGATTTGCCGTGTTTATTTATCAGGTATCTTGATCGAGTTACCGTATTAAAAAAAAGGAACTTCAGAACAGTAAAATATTTTAAAGAGTTCCTTGAACATGCCGAAATTTCAAAATTTTCGGCAATTTATTTACATTAATTAAACGATGTTTTGTTTGACTTACAGTGCTTATACAATTCTAGAGCCGTGTCTACATAGGAAAGACATATTTAAATATTTTTCATTAATGATACAATGTATTTTTATTGCAACTACCAATTAACCGGTACATTGAATTGTGAAAACAATTTATTTGTCTTTGTTCCGTCATGCGTAAAGTCCGGCGAGGGTCTACGTGATAATTGATTGATTACTCAAGGTGAAGCCCTGGTAATTATGTGTCATAACTTTTTGAATTGAAAGACGGTAGAATTGTTTGATTAAAGTTTCAGTTTGAGAGAATTTGTGTGTTTAGATTTTCTAATTATCACAACTCTTACTGTGTCGGGAATTTTTTTACTGTGTCGCATGCACGAAATTTGAAGAGTTACTGTGTCGGAGAAAATTTTACTGTGTCGGGAGCAACACAGTAAAACAGCTCATGGAGAACCCTGCCTTATTCATAAGCTTTATTTCCACAAAAATCACACATGATAATCATTCTAAATGCTTTTAATCTCCGATGTCTTGTGTTTTTCTTTTACATGAATTCTCGTTACTTTTCACTTTCACTCTGCTACAGCATGATCAAAAGTTATGACGTCAAGGGATTTGAATTTAACCTATGTGATAACTACAGAGACCCAGGAAAGACAAAAATCCGTTGATATTTTACCTCTGCATATGTTGATTAATTTATACAACCTCAAATCAATCTTAGATATCGATTATAAGAAATTGTTATCTCTAAACATCACGTCATATGGCTTACTATGACGTCATATAATAGAGGCAAGTTCAACATTTGGTTGTAACCTAAACCTACCTGCGTAAAAGATATTTCCAATTAGGTAGAACTTAGATCTAAAAGATACAAAAAGATTTGAGGTGGGTAAATCAATTCAATGCTGTTTTTCAACCGCATGACATCATCACTTTTCCTGAAAATTAACCGAGAGTTATTTCCCTTTGAACACTCTTTTGCACTGAAAACAAAGAAATGTTGACTCTCCTGTTTTGAAGTCTAAAGAACTTTATAACAACATGTGGCAAAAGAAGAAACCAGGAAAACAAACGATGAGAAAATGATGTTGTTCAACTGATTTAAATGGAAATCATTTATGAGTGACAAAGTAAGTCATCAAATAATGAAAATGAAAGAGACTCGTTGTGAAATATTGGAACAAAATTTATGAAATGGGAAGTCTGACTTGAGGGATTCCATCTATTTTAAAAACCCATGCATTATGATGCAAATTGAAGAAAACATTAACAAACAGTGGATACGGCCAACCGGAAATCAATAGGAATGGTTCTACCTATAAGCACAGGTAAAAAAAATGGAGAAATGAGTTTATGATATACCGGGTACTTCAGAAAGCAAATCAACTTAATCTGGAAATTTATATAATTTTTAATATTAGGGGGAGAATGTAATAAAAGATCGTGTGTATGAAATGAAAAATTAATATGTGTTTTTGGGTACAGACTACATTATTGTTTACTTTTTTGGAAGGGGGGGGGGGGCTAGGGAGTATTTAAGGGAAATCTGTATAAATTAGAGATGGACGTAAACACATGTAAATTATAAAGCATTATTCAGTTAATGTTTTGCAGACCAGGATCAGCTCCCAGCACTTTTCAAAATATACACTATATGAGCAATAAATATTCCAAATTTCAGCTCAAACAAAATAGTCTATGCCCTTGCACTTTTGATGTTTATCACGAATACGCTCATCGTTTTAGCGATATTCTCTATATTCCTTATCCCTGTGCAGCTTCAATGCTACTAGATAAATTCATATTCTATGAACATTGTATTTAATAAATCATTTTCTTTTAGTTTTAATGATTAAGTCTAAATATTAGCAATGGTATCATATTTATTTAAGCATTCTTGTAATTATTAAACCAGTGAATTTACTCCTGCGGATCACTTGTGCTGCGTCATGTCAATGCTGATGACGTCATATTTGACAAAAGGCTATCTTCTATTACTCGACTGTATTGCTATCAAGTATTGCAATTTTACAAGACTTATTGATAATCGATAAAATAGATAAATTCAAGTTGTTATTAATGCATGATTATATCGTTAATTAATTTTTGTAGCTTGTTGAATTTCAATGACGTCACAATTAAACTTCCAATACGATGTACAAAGAATGTGAACTCTGACCTTCCTTAACATAGCCGAGAGGTGGCAGTTTCTAAATTAAAGAAGATGTGTTTGTGAAACACATGCGCCCGGCGGCAACAAAGTTCGGAAAAAGCTATTTTTAGCATTATAAGGCCACAGTGAAGGTCACAAGAGCATTGACATTGGTGACATTTTGAGGAACCTGATTAGTGGAGTTTGCATACCAAATAGTTATAGTTCAAAAGTTCAAAAGGTTAAAGTTTGCAGTAAAAACTTTTTTAGCATATAGGCCACAGTCAAGGTCACAAGGTCATTGACCTTGGTGTCATTTGAAAGAACTTAATTAGTGGAGTATGCATACCAAATATGAAGTCTCTATCT